AGACTGAAATAAAGAAATATGTTGACCATAAAAATGGGGGGGAGTGCTATTTCAATACCGGTAAATAAATAAATAGAAAAGAAATTTAAATCAGTAAGTACTCTTTAAATTGGATTGAAGGCTCACAGCTGAGGACTTGGCATGACCTGAACCTGCTCTCTAGTAAGGTGTAATTAGAATGTCTTCTTTGTGACCACACATCCTGACATTGCTGTGATTTTCTCACAGGTACAGAATCTGCTCTTTCCCTCTCAGCCACTTCTTCTTTTTTAACCCTTCTGAACTCCAAATCCATCCATTCATCCATCCAACTTCCATCCATTCATCCATCCAACTTTCATCCATTCATCCATCCAACTTCCATCCATTCATCCGTCCAACCTTTTCTGACCCCAGTTGGCCCCTTTTACGGTATGAACCACAAATTCAACTTTTCAGGATGTCCTCACCAGCACCCCAAGATTCCTCACCCCATTGTCTTTCTACTGTGCCCTACACAATATAGGCATGCAGTAAGTATTTGCTGACTACTGGTTGATGTCCCACCTTGCCACTACTTGGTGGTGGAGAAAGTCATAAAACTGGCTTGATTGAATCCGGTAAGTCTAACATCAGCATTTTTGATGACAAAATCTTGTCATCCAACTCCAGATGACTTGATACTGATTTTACAATAAGAGTATAATATGTTATTACTCAGCCCTGTCTGACATTAAAAAATATCAACCCTGGGAGGCTGAGGTGGGTGGATCACCTGAGGTCAGGAGTTCGAGACCAGCCTGGCCAATATAGTGAAACCCCATCTCTACTAAAAATACAAAACGTAGCTCGGCATGATGCATGCCTATAGTCCCAGCTACTTGGAAGTCTGAGGCAGGAAAATGGTTTGAACCTGGGAGGTGGAGACTGCAGTAAGCTGAGAACACGCCATTGCACTCCAGCCTGGGCAACATCCATCTCAAAAAAAAAAAAAACAAAAAACCAACCCTAGGTCCCATCAACCAATTGTTAAACCAGAAATATCTTAAGGTTGGTATCAAGACAGAAGTATATGTGAAAACTTTCCAGTGGACTCTCCTGTGTAGCCAAGGTACCAAAGCCTGAATCCCATTTTCACATCCCTCACTTTGAGTAGTGAGAGGAGCAAGACAGATTCCTCCTCTGTTACTGAGATGTTGAGAGATATCTGGATTCTTCAAGTTATCCCTCCCCTCTCCTAAAATGTATCTTTAGAGCAAGAGTAAGTGAACTTCTTTTCTGTAAAGGGCTAAATAGTCAATATTTTAGGCTTTCAGACCAAGAAGCAATGTAATCAACTATTCCTGCAGCTGTTATCACTGGTAAAATGTTAAAACCATAGGGCCAGGCACTGTGTGGCTCACGCCTGTAATCCCAGCACTTTGGGAGGCCAAGGCGGGTGGATCACGAGGTCAAAAGATGGAGACCATCCTGGTCAACATGGTGAAACCCCACCTCTACTAAAAATACAAAAAAAAAATTAGCTAGGCATGCCTGTAATCCCAGCTACTCGGGAGGCTGAGGCAGGAGAATTGCCTGAACCCAGGAGGCGGAGGTTGCCGTGAGCCAAGATTGCGCCATTGCATTCCAGCCTGGGTAACAAGAGTGAAACTCCATCTCAAAAAAAAAAAATTCAGAGCTTGTGGGCCATACCAAAAGCAGCCACTGCCATAGTTTGTCAACCCCTGTTTTGATATCACTACTGATTTCCTAACTGACAAATCCAAGGGCCTTTTCGAATATTTTATGTGCCTTGATTTTTCTTTTCTTTTCTTTTTTTTTTTTGAGACAGGGTCTTGCTCTGTCACCTGTGCTGGAGTGCAGTAGTGCTATCACGGCTCACTGCAACCTCAGACTCCTAGGCCCAAATGATTCTCACACCTCACCTTCCTGAGTAGCTGGGGCTACAGGTCTGCACCAGCAAGCCAAGCTAATTTTTGTTTGTAGAGACAGGGGTCTTGCTCTGTTGCCCAAGCTGGTCTTAAACTCCTGGGTTCAAGCAATATTCCCTCCTCTGCTTCCCAAAGTGACAGGATTACAGGCATGAGCCACCAAGCCCTGCCACCTTGACCATTTTGCAAACCTTGATGTCATTATTCACCCTTTCCCTCTTGGTGTTGGACTTTCATGTCATTAAACCATTTTGGTCATCCTACTTCTAGCCTATTCCTTCTCTGTCTCATTTACCAGTTCCTGTGTTGCACACGCATGTGCCTGTATGTGTGCATGTGTTTGTGTGTATGTGTGTTTGTGTGTGTGTGTGTCTGTGTCTGCATGTATGTCCCAAGTTGCTGGCCCAAGTTGCTTCTATGGCCCTGCTGTCCATCAAGCTGAAAATATCTTTTTAAAAAAATCAGCTTCCAGCTCACCCCTGGAGCCTGACAATGCTGGCCTCAACTGCTTCTCAGATAAACTGCTCTCCTCAAGCTGTGCCTCTCTTGCAAGGAAGAACAGCACTGTCCCCCTCTGTAGTGTGTACTGTAACCTAAGGCTGCTTTACCCAGCATTTACTGCTCTGCTAAATTGACTCCCAAGGCCATGGGTATACAACCATAGCTGGTGAGAATGGTAGTAGCATCTCTGTACCCCATGCTGCAAGAGTTTATACTCTTATCAAGGTCAGTTGAATGAACAAAATGTATTTTCCTAATGTGGAAAAACTGACTTAAAATGTGGACTGAGAATAGTTGTCAGTTGCTCAATATATTCAAATCTATGTTCACATGCCATCTCTGCCTCGAACAGTTAGTAGCAGGGACAGCTGTGCCAGAGAAACTACCCTTCCAGCTGGGAGCTGAGCCTCAGAAAGGACTCTAGTCTGATTTTGAAACTACTAAGCATCCTAATGAAGTTGACTTGATTTACATTTTAACAATACCACACAAATGTACTACATGTCACTTTTCCAATAACCACTTCCACATCATTCATTTTGACACCTCCCATTGTATAAAAAGCAGAAGGAGTAAAACAGCATTCTGTGATGAGGTGCATGGGGAGGGAAGCTGGATTTTCATTTTATTTTCTAATTAAATAACCTTTGTGTGATGCGCAGAGGTCTCCCAACTGAAATCCCACGATGTTCCTTCCCATCTGCATGACCATGAGGCCTGAGTTCTGTCTGCTCACCAAGCCTCCAGGACAGCTGTGCAGTACTTAACACTTAGTATCTGACTCTCTGACCCATTCTGGGGGCCACGAGTATCCTACTTCCCCTACCACCCCAGCAACAGTTGGTCTCGGTTAAATACATATAAGCTTTGGGACAGTTCCCTTCCTCTAATGAAATGGTGATATAGTTTGCCTGTGTCCCCACCTAAATCTCATCTTGAATTGCAGTTTCCATAATCCCATATGTTGTGGGAGAGACTAGGTAGCGATAATCAAATCATGGGTGTGGTTCCCCCATCCTGTTCTTACTTTATAAGGTGCTCCTCCCTTCACTGGGCACTCATTTTTCTCCTTCCTGCTGCCATGTGAAGAGGTACATGTTTACTGCCCCTTCCACCATGACTGTAAGTTTCCTGAGACTTTCCCAGCCCTGCAGAACTATGAGTCAATTAAACCGCTTTCCTATGTAAATTACCCAGTCTAAGGTATGGCCTGATAGCAGTGGGAGAATGGACTAATACACCTGGTCAAGGCTTCTTGCTTCTTGTCCCTGTGTCAGAAAATGAAGAACCAGTTCTACGTCCCTATTGGCAATATTCAAATCATTTTAAATATGGCCCCTGGGAGGGTTGATCAGAAATTTTCACAGGGCGTGCTGTCCCGCAAGAAGTAGTCCTCTTGGCCCTGATGGAGTTTGTGTTAAACTCTGCTACAAAGGGGATCCTCCTACATTTCCTTACTATTCTCTCTCTAGTCCTTGAGGAAGGTATTACTTACCTGCCTTGGGATATTCCATTTGGATGTTCCTAAGCTTTAAGATATCAAAAGCCAAGCTCAACATTTTCTGCATACCACAGTCAGGAGTCTGGCTCTAAGGGCTGTGAATAGCCCCATTGGCAACAGAGGGTTGAAATTTGACTCTTTGATTCTTTCTTTTCCCTCAAAGATCTGCAAATTTAATGTATGTGCACTGACTTCGTGTTGACTAGCTGGAACCCATATCAGCATTAAAAGGGACTGATAGAGTGATGGATAGGTCACAACCAGGTAATGGGTAGGTCACCTGGTTAATTCCTCGTGCAGAGCATCAGTTTCCTCTGCAGTATCTGTGTTTAAGTAAATAGTGGTTCAGTGTGTACCTAGAGTACCTCCAACAATGAAGAAGACTCTGCCAAGTTAGGTATCACTCAGATTTCTGACAGTACTATCTTCTTTCCAGTCTTTATATGGAAAAAAAGTAGATTTTTCTTTCAATAATATTTCTTATGAAAAAAGAATGATACAAAATGGGCCCTGCAATGTGTTATAATTAAATGACCATTAGGGTCAAGGCAAACCCAGGTTCATATTTTGCAACCACACAACCTAGATATGTCACTTTTGGCATTTTAGAAAAGTAAAATTGCATTGCCTATTTATCTTATTTATTTATTCATTCTTACAACAAATTTTAATGAATATGTAGTATGTGCCAGGCACACTCCTTGATACTGAGAATACAGGAGTCAGCAAAACAGACAAAATCCCTGCCATCATGGAGTTAGCATTCCATTGGGTGGGGAAGGATTCAGAAACAAACCAAATATAAGAGTAAATTATATATTATGTGGATTAGGTGATAGGAGCTATGCAAAAAAAAATAGCACAGGGAAAGGGAATAAGGAATAAGAAATCAATACTTAAGCAAAGATTTAAAGAAGAGGATTTAAGCTATCGGGATAAGTGGAAGAGGAGTCTCTCAGGCCAGGGAACAGCAAGAACAAAGGCCCTGAACTTGGAGAGTGCCTGGTGTGATGCAGGAGTGGTAAAGAGGTCCACATGGCAGGAGCAAACAGAATGAAGATAACAGCAGGAGAGAAAGTCAAGGAGGCAACACAGCTTTTAGCTGTAAATTTGAAGGTTTTGAACATAGAAGTGACATAATTTGACTTATAAAATCTCACTCTGATTGTTGTCCTGATAAATGGGACAAGGGTAGAATTAGGGAAACCATTTAAGAAGATACTGCAAAGCCCAGGTAAGATATAATAGTGCCTAATATTTGGGCAGTACAGTGAAGTTACTTGGATTCTGAATATATTTTGAAGATAAAGACAAACAGCTTTGCTCATGGATTGGATGTGTGGTATATTAGTTGTCTATTGCTTCATGACAGTTTAGCTCAAAACATACTGAATTAAAGCAACCATTTATGATTCCATAATTCTTGAGGGTCAGAAATTGGAGAGCAGCTTAGGTGGGTAATTTTGGTTCAGGGTATCTCATCAGGTTGCAGTTAGGAGGCTATCAGGGGCTCCTATTATCTGAAGGCTTCACTGGGGCTGGATGATCTGCTTCTAAGATGGATCCTTGCATGGCTGTTGGCAGGAAGCCCCAGTCCCTTGTCACATGGACCTCTCCATCGGGTGCTAGTATATTTTCATAAGACCACTAACTTCCCCCTGTATTATGATATAATATGGGAGTACCCCCAACCCCCAAATTTATATGTTCAAAACCCAACCTCCAATGTAATTGTATTAGGAGATAAGGCCTTTGGGGATGTGATTAAGTTTAGGTGAGATCATAAGAATGGGGTCCTGATCCAATAGGATTAGTGTCTTTAAAAAAAAGACACCAGAGAGCTTGTTCTCTTTCTCCACCAGTGAGAAGGCGGTGTCTGCAAGCCAGGAAGAGAACCGTCACCAGAAACTGATTGTGCTGGACCTTGATCTTGGACTTCTAACCTCCAGAACTGTGAGAACATTTGTTATTTAGGCCACCCAGCAGCTTTTTTATGGTAACCAGAGCATACTAACACAGTCACAGTGAGAAAATAAACAAAAAGAAAGTCACAGTGCCTTTTGTGACCTAGACTTCAAAGTGCACATCTTCACTTCCATTTTATTTATTTATTTTATTAGAGGCAAGTCAGTAAGACCAACTCTCACAGGGAGTGAAATTAGGCTTCACTATTTGAAGGGAGAAGTATAAAAAATAGCGCATATTTAAAGACCACCATATAGGGTATGAAATAAATAGAAACAAAAAAATCATGCCAAGATTGCTGGACTCGGTTGTTGGAGGAAAAGAGCTAGCACTAATGGAAATGTAGGCAACAATGATTGAGTAGCAGCATCAGTTTAGTTTTGTACATGTTAAGTTTGAGTTGCCTAAAACACCTCCAAAGGGAGGTGTCAAGCAGGCGGTGATTCCACTGTGAATCTGGAGTCAAAGAGTAATCTGCGCTATAAATACAGATTTGGCAGTTGTGAGTATATGGATGTCATTTGAAAACATGAGACTTAAAGTGGAAAGAAGAGATGAGGAGGGGAGTAAAAGGGAAGGGAGGGTAAAAATGAGGGAAGGGGAGGGGGAGAAGAGCTATGCCTGAGCCCTAGGATATTCTTACATTAAGGGAAAGACATATGAGAAGGAACCAGAAAAGGAATTTTCAGTGGAGTAAGAAGAAAACCAGGATAGTGATAATTTGAAAGCTGAGGGTATAAAGTGTCTCAGGGAGTACAGTGTGGTCAGCTAATGCCACTGATGATATAGGATGAAGCCTGCAAACTGACCATTGAGTTTAGGAGTACGTAGGTTATCAGTGACGTTAACGAGAACAGCTTTACTAGAATGTCAAGAGGAAAGCTTATTTGTGTGAAATTGAAGAGAAAATGAGAAGAGAGGAACCACTGAGGTGATTAAAGCCATCTGGTATGTTTTCTCAGATTCTGTCTTTACTGAGATTTCCTTGTAGAGTGTCTAATCATCTCTTAATTGATAAAGCCAAGAGTTTTTCTTGAACTTTTTCTACACCTTGATATTTTCACAGCCCTTGACACCATCAATGTACTTTCTTCATCCTGTTCATCAGCTTGTGTATGTGTATGGTACGTGTGTGTGTGTGTGTGTGTGTGTGTACTGTGTTTACATGTGCACCAATATGTGTGTATCTAGTCCCATCTGCTGATCTGAGCTGCTTCTGTGACAAAGCTTTCTGTCAAGCTTGGGATACTTATTTTCTTAACCCAAATGCAGTTCACCACTGAAGCCTCTTTTGAAGAGGTTCGGTTGTAAGGGGAAGCAGAGGAGTGGGACAGTAGCTGGGAAAAGTGGAGTCAAGGCAAATTTCCTTTCAGCTGGGAGAAATACTGAAGGTTTGAATGTTGATACATTATAGAGGATTAATGCAGTAGACAAAATAATGGTGCATGGAAGAGAGAAGGGGGCGTCAATTGTCGTGGTGACTCTATTAAATGCAATAATATTAGCCTTCATTTAAATGCCATGTGTTAGGTATTATGTAAAATACTCTAGGTACATTAACTCATTTCATTATACTGAAAGTCCAATAAGGTAAAGCATTATTATACTCATGTTATGGATGCTGATTCCAAGGCTAGTCAAGTAATGTGCCCAAGGTTTAAAACACAGTCATGCTCTGGTCTACCTGATGCCACACTCTACATGGACTAAAACGCAGTGTACATCTTTTTGTTTGCTTCATTTATATTTTCTTCCTAGATAACTATCACAGTGTGGTGCATAGAGTAAATGCCCAGTAAATGCTTGCTAGGTGTTTAGTTCATTTTCAGGCTGCTATAAAGAACTGCTTTAGACTGGGTAATTTATAAAGAAAAGAGGTTTAATTGACCCACAGTTCCCTATGGCTGGAAGAGCTCAGAAAACTTACAATCATGGCAGAAGGCACCTCTTCACAGGGCAGCAGGAGAGAGAATGAGAACCAGTTGAAGGGGACGTTCCTTATAAAACTATCAGATCTCATGAGAACTTACTCACTATCATAAGAATAGCATGGAATAAACCACCCTGTAATTCAGTTACCTCTCACAACTGGTGGGAATTATGGGAACTACAGTCCAAGATGAGATTTGGATTTGGGTGTGGGCACAGCCAAACTGTATCATTCCACCCCTGCCCCCTCCCCAATCTCATGGCCTCACTTTTTAAAACACAGTCATGCCTTTTCAACAATCCCCTGAAGTCTCAACTCATTTCAGCATTAACCCAAAAGTCCAAGTCCAAGGTCTCATCTGAGATAAAGCAAGTCCCTTCGGCCTATGAATCTGTAAAATCAAAAGCAAGTTAGTTCTGAGATACAGTGGAGGTCCAGACATTGGGTAAATACACCTGTTCAAAATGGGAGAAATTGGCTAAAACAAAGGCCCCTTGCAAGTCTGAAATCCAACTAGGCAGTAATTAAATCTTAGAACTCCAAAATAATCTCCTTTGACTCCATGTCTCACATTCAGGCCACACTGATTTAAGAGGTGGGCTCCCATGGCCTTGGGTAGCTCTACCCTTGCGACTTTCCAGGATAAAGTCCCCCTTCCATCTGCTTTCACAGGCTGGCATTGAGTGACTGGGGCTTTTCCAGGTGCCCCGTGCAAGCTGTTGGTGGATCTACCATTCTGGAGTCTGGAAGATGGTGGCCCTCTTCTCATAGCTCCACTAGGCAGTGCCCCAGTGGGGACTCTGTGTGGGGGCATCAACCCCACATCTCCCTTCCACACTACCCTAGCAGAGATTCTCCATGAGGGCCCTGCCCCTGCAGCAAACTTCTGCCTAGACTTTCAGGCATTTCCATACATTCTCTGAAATCTAGTTGGGAGGTTCCCAATCCTCAATTCTTTTGTGCACCTTCAGGGTAAATATCATGTGGAAGCTGCCAAGGCTTGGGGCTTGCACCCTCTGAAGCCACAGCCCAAGCTGTACCTTGGCCCCTTTCAACCATGGCTAGAGCAGCTAGACACAGGGTACCAAGGCCCTAGACTGCACATAGGAGGGAGACCCTAGGTACAGTCCAGGAAAACATACTTTCCTCCTAGGCCTCCAGGTCTATAATGGGAGGGGCTGCTGCAAAGGTCTCTGCCATGCCCTGGGAGACATTTTCCCCATTGTCTTGGTAATTAACATTTGGTTCCTCGCTACTTATGCCAATTTTTGCAGCTGGCTTGACTGTCTCCTCAGAAAATGGGTTTTTCTTTTCTATTGCATCCTGAGTCTGCAAAGTTTCCAAACTTTTATGCTCTGCTTTCTTTTTAAACATGTTTCAATTCCAAGCCATATCTTTGTGAATACATAAAACTGAGTGCTTTATAACAGCACCAAAGTCACCTCATGAGCACTTTCTTGCTTAGAAATTTCTTCTGCTAGGTATCCTAAAACATCACCTTCAAATATGAAGTTCCACAGATTTCTAGGGCAGGAACAAAATGCCACCAGTCTCTTTGTTAAAACATAGCAACAGTCACCTTTATTCCAGTTCCCAAAAAGTTCTCCATCTCCATCTGAGACCATCTCAGCCTGGACTCATTGTCCATATCACTATCAGCATTTTGGTCAAAGCCATTCAACGAGTCTCTAGGAAGTTCCAAACTTTCCCACATCTTCCTCTCTTCTTTTGTGCCCTCCAAACTGTTCCAGCCTCTGCTTGTTACCCTCAAAGTCACTTCCACATTTTGGGGTATCTATACAGCAATGCCCCACTACCTAGTATGAATTTATTGTATTAATTCATTTTCACACTGCTATAAAGAACTACATAAGACTGGGTAATTTACAAAGAAAAGAGGTTTAATTGACTCACAGTTTCCCATGGCTAGGGAGGCCTCTGAAAACTCACAATCATGGCAGAAGGTAGCTCTTCACAGGGTGGCAGGAGAGAAAATGAGAACCATGTACAGGGTTAAGCCCCTTATAAAACCATCAGAGCTCATGAGAACTTACTCACTATCATGAGAACAGCATGGGAGAACCGCCCCCATGATTCAATTACCTCCCACAACACATGGGGATTATGGGAACTACAACTGAAGATGAGATTTGGGTGGGAAAACAGCCAAACCATATCACTAAGTACATTTTTTTAATGAAAATGAAAATGTATTTATAAAATTAGTATAAATATTGAACTGTGTTTAATGTAACCCTTGAAAGATACTCTGTTATTCGATAGTTGCCCCTAAATTATATATTTCTTATAAACAATTAAAATAATTCAGAAAATTATCACTTAATTTTGAGAATTTATATTAGATTCCTTAATGTATACTTTCATATTCAACAGCTACTCAATTCAACTTTTAGAATGAAATTTCCAACATTGGTATGGCAAGTGATTATTTCTCTAGGATCACTGGGCATCAGAGAATCTTGTTGATCAAATAATACAAATGGCAATTTTATACCATCTGAAGATTACCCATTAAAAAAAAAATCAAAAATTCTCCTTAGCACCAAAATTTTCCCTAAGATCTTGCTTTGCTGCCTATCAATGAAGTATTTCATGGTTTCTTCATGCCTCAGGGCTGAGGTTATGAAAATGAATTATCATCATGTGTTTCAATGGAAAAGCAGCCAGACTATTTAAACTTCCTAGTTTTCTGAATTCTGAATCAATGGAATTCTGAATTAATGTAACAAAGACAGGAAACCAAAGCAGCCAGTAAGTGCATTTAAAGGGTACTACACATCATTCTGAGTAGACTTCAGCAAACCCTGAGAGTTTGTCCCAACAGCAGCAGGTTCTCCCAAGAGCAACTGGTTCTTCCCAGACCACCATTTTTGTCAAGAACCCTACCTTGGACTTCCTGAATCATGGAAGATTTTGCATCAAGCCACAATCTCTTATAATCTTACCAGTAATGATGCTAATAATAATAACTTCTGTGGCATCTCATTTGAGCCCATTGTGGCAATTGAATGTCTCTGTATGTAGTTAAGCGTTTTTACAGTAATGCTGTGTTGATAAACACCATCCATTCCAACAGTCCTGATCCGTTTAACAATGAGTGCCATTCCGCCAAAATGTTTCCTTCTTTGTCTCAGCCCAAAGGCAACTACACTGGGAAAGTCTGAGCCAAATTTCTTGAACTACTTTTGAGTTATACATGAATGTTGGAAAAAAACTACACTTTTCCTGTATTGAAAAAGTGTTCAGAATTACTCATTTCTTTTTATCTATGGCATTATAAGGTAGTGGCACACTTGACTGCATTTAATATTTTTTCTAATGTTTCCTTAGCTTTATAAGTTCTTTTTTAAAAAAATTGAAATATATGCTAAGCTGTTCAATAAAGCTAATTTTAATGATATTCAAGAGATTTTTCTTCGGTTCCCCAGCCGATGTCCGTGCCCCTCAATGAGGAAGGAAAAATCAATTCAATTATCAAAGCACGGTTAATTGCTTTCAAGATTAGGGTGATTTAAAGAGCAGCGAACTATTTTATCTGTACTCAGCAGTTTTGGCTAAAAATATTCTCCGAAGTGCACTAGAAAAGAAGTTTAAGGTTCTATGAGTTCACATATGACATCCTTCCCAGCTCTTCCCTTGCTTGTCATTAACAGAGCTAATGGCAGGGGCTCGTATACCAAAGAGCCATAGCACTGGGGCATTATTTTCAACTGGTATTAACTGTTTCATCTCTCAAAACACAGGTATTTTTAGGCCTTTGTGCTTGGCAGTCCCAATTTGAATATTTAGTCAAGGTATTTTTGTGAACATGCACAGAATAGAGAGAAAGCTTGTTTATGCTAAGGATTCTCCCACTCTATATATTCGCTGCAGACCAGATTTCTTTTACATCTAGTGTCACTTGAGTTTAGTTCCAGTTTTGCAGCTTGTATCATGTTGGCAGAATCTTCTAGAAGCTATGATATAAAGATGGTAAAATGTGGCTTCTGCTCTTCGGGGGCTTACAGTTCAGAAGGGAGGGTAAACAGAAGGACAAATTATTTCATCTTCAAGGTAAAATGCAGTTAGGGCGCATGGAAGGCGCCACCAGAAAGGTTCCCTGGGCAGCTCTGTGCATGCTCTGAGGAGGGAAGGATGGTAGGAAGGTTGCCAGGAGAAGGGAAATTATCTCCCAGGTGGAGGTAGACATGTGGGAAAAGACAAAGAGACGTGAATCAGCTGGGTGTGCACAGGAAACACTCTAATATCATTAGGGCATGAGCTACAAGTCAGAGAGGGATGGGAAGTAAGGAGAGCAAGCTCTTGAGCTAAACATCAAGCGTCGTGCTGCAGGCCATGGAGATCCACAGGAACGCTTTAAATGGGGATGTAAAATTATGTAGAACATACATTTTATATCTTTGATGATTAAAAACATATATAGATCACAGAAAATTATAGGGAAAAAATGTATAATCTCACCACCTAGGGACAACCAGTGCTAACACTACTATTGTGCTGTTTTTCCTAACAATTTTCCATATGCATGTGTGTACATGTACATATATAATGCACATGTATGTATGTATATAATGCATGTATATGTGGTACTGGTTTTCCTATCTTTTATTATATAAACATATATAATGCACATGTATTATGTAAAGTACCTACATGAAAAATGTATTTTCTTAACAGATGACTCATGGAAGGGAGAGAGCAGCCTGATGGAGAAGATGCTTTGGCAAGTGCACTGAAGAACATCGTGGAAGAAGGAAGGGGATAAATACTGCAAAGGAGGACGAGGAAGGAGCACTGAGCTCTATGTGGGGAAAAGGGGTCAGAAAGAGGGAGATGCCTATTCACATGCATGGCGTTTAATAGATTTACTAGGTTGTTTACTGTGTGATGTAAATCTCCTCCTCTCTCTTCTTGAAATTTCTTAAGTGAATTCTACATTGTTCATCCATTCATGTTTATGTGCCAGCAAGCTTTGGGAGGGCTGTAAAAATTAAAAAGGTTAGACCATTGTTAGACATCTGGGAATCATCTGTGTTAGAGAAGGTACATATCTCTTTCTCTTTTTTGGATGGAATACATTTTATTTTTCTAAAATTTGTATTTGAAGCTATTTATTTCTAATTGTCAAAAATGTGAAATGAGAAATTTAAAAAATTTTTTAATTTCTCTTGTCCCACCACTTTATATACTACCAGGATTTGTTGAATAATTTGGAATTTTAGACTTAAGATAATTTTCTGATGTATATTATAGATTATAGATCTTCTATTTCAAGAATTAGTTTATATTTGAATTAAAATTTACAACTGCATTAAAATGTACCTAACTATATTTTTCTAATTTTATTATTTGGTTTTTCATTTAGGAAATATTTATATGTATACGTGTGTGTGTGTGTGTGTGTGTGTGTGTGTGTGTGTGTATAGTTGCCCTTCTAGAAATATTTAGTTTGATTGCGTCTCTATTGACTAGATGATGGTACATGTTTTTTGTATTTATTTATTTATTTGAGACAGTCTCACTCTGTCACCCAGGCTGGAGTGCAGTGGCATGATCTTGGCTCACTGTGACCTCTGCCCCTGGGTTCAAGTGATTCTCCTGTTTCAGCCTCCTGAGTAGCTGGGGCTACAGGCACATGCCACCACACCTGTCTAATTTTTGTATTTTTAGTAGAGATGGGGTTTCACCATGTTGGCCAGGCTGGTCTCAAACTCCTGACTGCAGAGGATCTGCTGGCCTCGGCCTCCCAAAGTGCTGGGATTACAGGTGTAAGCCACCATGCCTGACCAGTATATGTCTTTGAATAAAATTTTTTCACAAAAAAGTGAATGAACCATGATAAATAATCTGTAATTAGCACTTCCCATGTGCCAGTCACTATCTGTATTAACTCATTTGATCTAGACAATAACCCCACAAGTAAGTTACTATTATCATCTACTTTATGCAAACAAGAAAGCAATGACGCAAAAAGGTAAGTAACTCACCTAAACTCTCATAGCTATCAAATGGCAAAGCTGGGATTTGAGCCCGGTCATTATGATGCCAAAATGCACATACTTAACTGTTTCACTGTGTTCTGTGCTATAACTTAAGAACCCTGACATACTCAAAATTCTTTTACTGTGACTACACTTTTAAACAATAAAAGTAGGCACAATCAAAAGGATAACTGAAAAGTTTTCACTGAATTTGTCAATTCAGTGAATGGTATGGTAGAGCTATTTTCAGAGGAATCATAGAGGTAGAAGCAGGTTAGAGTTGGTTGAAGATGGGAGGGAACGACTAATTGAAGTATGTTCTAGTTTCAAAGAAGATCTAAACATACTTTCTTCTTTGAAACTAGAACGTACTCCAATTAGTCATTCCCTCCCATCTTCAACCAACTCCAACCTGGTTCTGCCTCTCTCTATATACGTACATATACACATATATGTTATATATATGAGTGTGTGGGCATGTGGCATATAGATGGCCCCTTTCCTATAAGGAGACTGAGACTGAAAGGCATCAGTCTAGGATGGGAGACAGCCTAGCATGTTTATAGGCTGAAAGCACCATAAGAAAGAGAAAGAAAAAATGTAAATAATTGAGGATCTAAGTCCAAGGGAAATAAGAAAGTAGAGTGGAATCAAGAGCATAAAGAGAAAACCTGGACCTAAATATTAGGTTGGTGGAAAATAATTGTGATTTACCATTGCTTTTAATACTCTTTTCTCCTGAGTCTGGGAAGAAGTGGTTAAGGTGGGCCCAGGTGGAGTCTACAGCTGGGGTTGACCAGAAGCTGAGGAACACTGCACTGCATGGGTGCCAAGTTTGTTACAAGTAAGAGGTAAAGGGGTTGGGTGAGGGCTTCCAAGGGGTGCCGAATACTTGGCAGACATTTTGGGGAGAATGGGAGGTGCTATAAGATAGATACGAAAAAGATGACCAAGTTGTGTTGCAGACTTAGTTGAGATCAGAGAACAGGTATTTGGAGGAAAGTATTTTCAGTTCTGTTATCATACTAATATTTGTGAAATATTATGTGTGAGGCTTGGAACTAAGTGCTCCTTTAGAGTATTACACTTAAGTCACTTACACAAGAATCATGTAGTCATGCTGTCCAAGACCCTGCCCACCCTGGCCTCGACACCTTGCCAGCCTCACCGAGCACTCCTCATCTGCTCAATAACACACTTCAGCCAAAATGCGGGGAATACCAACAGCTAAGAGTGCAACCAGAAAACACAGTCCATGTAATATTTAGAATGATTTTTAGTTACTCGCGTGGGCCATTTGCCATCAGAACTGGATAACCGGGAGACTAATGAGGCTTCTTGTTAGTTGCTGCCTTCTCTGTGCCCTTTCAGTATCTTGTGCCACATTTGCTGTTTCAGATTCCATCCCTCTTTCTTACAGTTGTTGATTCACACATAGTTCTCTCCAGCTCACAGAGAATAGACAAAGTACGATAATACCCATAGGAATATTAGACCATCTGCCACATACTAGGTGATTTGTCTACATTTAAAGAATGGATAAATGAAGAAAGGAATGAATGAGCAAGCCAATTTTAGTTTTTTCTTTTAACATTTTAATTTCCAAGTTCAATCCATAATTTTTGTCCTTTTTTTTATGAGCTCAATGTAAGATGTATAGAATGTGAATTTACAATGATACATTCAGGTAGAAAGTAAAAGCAATGCCCTAGGCAAAAATTAGTTTCCTTATCAATAAAATGGATGGTATCATAACAATATCTGCTTCACATTATTACCCTATGTGGTTAAATAGATGCATTTTTTATTGTACTTTAGGTTCTGGAATACATGTGCAGATCATACGGGATTGTTGCATAGGTACATATATGGCAAGGTGGTTTGCTGCCTCCATCCCCCCGTTTTATTTGAATGAAATGTGGTTGCACAGCATACATTGGTGACTACTTTCAGTTAATGGATATTTAAAATGTAGCAGAGGATATAAAGTAGCTTCAAATTTAATGTGATGAAGAGGTTAACAAATAGAGGCACTGAAAGAGGAGTCAATTCTTTATTCCAACATTTGAGATTCTACAAGACTTAACCCCAAACTACCTTTTAAAATGATATTTATCTGTATTTTCCTTAAAATGCCCATCAAACAATTATTCACTGATCCTGTTTAAACCCCTACTTGTCCATGTTCTTCCCACCATCTGAGTTGACTTCCCTTTCTATATTTGCAATTTAAAATCTTCCCAAACTCCAAGTCCAGCTCCCATCTCCTTTTATTTCCTTTTGCCATATCCACTACACACCTGGTTATAGTATTTTCTTTTTTGTTGATATATTTTATTATACTTCAAGTTCTGGGATACATGTGCAGAACGTGCAGGTTTGTTACACAGGTATACATGTGCCATGGTGGTTTGCTGCAACCATCAACCCATCATCTACATTAGGTATTTTTCCTTATACTATCCCTCCCCAAGCCCCCCATCCCCTGACAGGCCCGTTGTGTGGTGTTTCCCTTCCTGTGGCCGTGTGCGCTCATTGTTCAACTCCCACTTATAAGTGAGAACATGCGGTGTTTAGTTTTCTTTTCTTGTGTTAGTTTGCTGAAAATGATGGTTTCCAGCTTCATCCATGTCCCTGCAAAGGACATGAACTCATCCTTTTTAATACTATGCAGCCATCTTCTTCTTGACAGTATCTAACATTACCATGATTAGAAGAAATCTCTCCTTTTTCTTTTTTTTAAATAATTTCCATTTTTACTTTAGATTCAGGGTGTACACATACAGGTTTGTTACATGGGTATAATGCATGACACTGAGGTTTGGGATAAGAGTGATCCCATTACCCAGAGTGAGCACAGTATCCAATAGGTAGTTTTTCAGCCCTTGTCCCCACATTCCCCTCTCACCGCTCTAGTCAGTAGTCACCAGTTCCTCTTGTTCCCTTTTTTTGTCCGTAATCACCCAACGTCTAGCTCCCACTTATAATGAGAAGTAACCCTTAACCTGTTCTACTTATTGCAGTTAGAAATCTCATTGTGACATACACAAAGCAAGTTAATATTTGAATGTTGGCTCAATCATTAACTAATTTTTGACCTTAGAAAAGTTACTTAGCCTTTCTGAGCCTCATAATCTTCATCTGCAAATGAAAAATAATAATACCTGCCTCTCATTGTTGCTGTGAACACTATAATATTGAATATAATTAAATGGTTCTTATAATTGCTGGTGTTTGGGTAAGCTAATCTACTAGACACAAGTTCCTCGAAGGCAGACGTACTCTTCAATGAATCTTTACAATACTCCGAACACATAATACTCAATAAAAATTAAAATGAATATGTAATCTATGTCCTTTCTTTGTAAATAGAGACTGTGAAGATAATTAGAAACAGTGTTTTCTCCCCTTAGTTATGTTAGCTGTTTTCTCCCATACACTTGCTCTTATTTCATTTTTTATTAAAGACCTAAATAAAAAAAGCTAGACTGTGTTTAATAAGTCACTAATTCTAGATTAGTAGTAATTTTAGTTATGAGATTTTCATTGTGTATATCTTCCAACACTGATATAATTATAAAATAGCTGTACATTCATGTTAGCACATACTTTATACATACATGTAAAGAACTTAGAACAGTGCCTAGTACACAGTAACTGATTGATCAGAGTTAGCTATTATTATAATCACTAGTGCAGAAAACAATGATTGGGAATATTTTGTTGTTTCTTTTGATGCAAGCAACAGAAATTAACTGTTCAGCTTTAACCAGAAAAAGATCCCATGAAATGGTTCCTTATCATTTACAGAATTAGAGGGAAAACTGAAAAATTATGAAAAGCATAGAACATTGCTAGAGGGTATTGCTATTGGACGACAAGCGCCAATCTCTTTCCAGGAACAATCTTTAGTCAAGATTTTTCTTTTCCTGGAAAAGAGAAATGGACTTCAAATGGATTTTGGACCACCCCAGAAGAGCAGGGGCTAATGATTGGCAGCACTTCTGAGCCAAATACTAGGACCAGCAATGGGCAAGCAGAAGGAATGTATGTTCCTTACAAAACTTAAACAGGAAGCAACTCATCATTATATCATGCTCAGCTTTGTGACTCCAATTGTGGTTTTTTTATCATTTGCCAATTTATGGAAATAAATATGTGGGGAATTGTAGACTTCAAATATGGGCTTTGTTCTAATAACATTTTGTTAAATGTCATTTAAGCAGGGGAAAACATAACCTAAAGCTCCAAGCCATAGGTTATTAAGCAAATACGGACATGTACAAGTAACTCATAAATACATTATTGTTGTTCTCTGAGTTTGACAATTAGATTTTTATTGATTATTG